AATGTTCAAATTAGAACAATGATGATCAACTTGAATTCTTTTAATTTTTGAAATCTGATTTGATAGTTCTCAAATCGTAAACATGAATCAGTTGTGTTTATTTATTGCAGAAGAATTGCTGCCCTGGCTAGCAAGCAAAATGAGGAATCCAGTGGCTCATCCTCGTCGTCGTCCAAGAAGAAGGTGTTGACGTCGGCGAGGTCTGAGGACAGAGACATTGCTGAGAGACTGGAGAGGTTGAAGGACGCCAGGAGGAAAATGCGAGGTGAGGACTTGCGTGAAAAGGGACGTGGGGGGTTGTTGACTCTGCATGAAAGAGAAAGGGGGCTTTGTTGTCCTATGAGAACATTTCGTGGTCAACACTTCTGTGTGTTGCCATTTTGTACAAGTTTGGTGAAGAGGCTGCATGACTCATTTTCCTCTGAATGTGCACAAATATGTAGGTTTGGTGCTGGAGACATGGTAATAGCACCGTGATCATTGAAGGGAGTGCAGGTGCACAAAGTCTGTTTGGCACTGTTTACAATTCGGCACCTGTAGCAACCCACGTAGCTAGTGTGAAAACGTAATTGTTCACGGAATTTGTTGTTGAATTGAGACCCTCATGAGCTGTTTGCCTGATGGCAGGAGCCATTCAAACAGCCATCATTTTTTGTCCCTTTAAGTCCCATGAAAGTGAGAATAAGGTTTGTCAAAACAGTGGGTATTTTTGATAATCCCAGGCCGGACACTATCCACTGAAGAAATTGAGGACAGATTGAAAAAGCTGAAGGGGGAACCAACCTCATCTGAGGCAAGTGGCAGTCCGGCTGCAGCGGTAAGTTACCAGCTGAGACGAAGTCTTGAGTCTTGATTTCAGCTCTGGTTTTAGGAAAAATAGGACTGCTGAACATGCACAATTGGGAATCCCAAGCTGTAATGTTTCTTGATGTATACTGCACTACACAATTTGGGGAGGAATATTGTGACTTCTGGTAGAGGTCTGATTTGGAGCGCCGCTAGCGCATGGCAGAGCTAGTTGCTGTTAACACATCACCATACCCAAGCCACAGACGCTGTGACTGGGGTTGTAATAATCTATGCATACACTAAATAGCAGTGAAGGGACTGGTGCATGGAAATATTTGTGTCTTTAGAATAAAGATAAACAAGAGGGATCCTGTTTTTTGTTAATGGAGGCCAGGACAAAGAAGGTCCATCTTCAGTTAACTGCCGACTAGATTACTGATCACGGGCAAAGTTAATGTTCTGGTCAATTTATGTGTACTTCTTTTGCAGCTCTTTAAGCCAGTCAGGATAAAGAATTATCTGAGGGCAAGTAGGGTTAAATACTGTAAAAATCACATGTCCTTTGCCACCAAGCTTCTGTATCCAAGACAAAGGCAAATTTGCTCCGAACATTATTGCTGAGTTTTCAATTTTTGCCGTACATTCACATTTACTGTTGACAGCCACATCAGCCGCCAGACCAGCGCACACCTCACGAGCAAACTCAAGACCTTCTGGCACAAATGAAGGAGGAAGCTGCCATCGATGCTAAGATGGATGGCTCTGAAATAAATGGTGATTTGCCCGATTTTTGTGGCTTCAATCTGGAAAGAAGATCCTTGAACATCTTGTTCACCATTACCCATATAGAGCCAATGATTTTCCGTTTCAAAACTGGGTATTGTCTGTTTCTCTCAAATCCTGAATTCCACTTCAGAAATTCAAATTCCGTTTCATACCTTAGTAAGCATGAAATAGGAGAGCAAGTTTTAAACTATGCATGGAAACCATTTGCCCAAGCATGCTCCCCTCCCCCTCCCAAAAAAGAAACAAATATTGTTTGGATGTACTCTGTAATGTTTCCAACTTTTTAAATAATTTTCTGTAGTGATGATTCAGGTATGGTACACCAAGCTGACGAGGTTTCGTTTAATTCAAGAAATATGTAATTAGTCTTTCGTTTTGGTGCCGCAGTTTCATCTTTTCGCCATGCAGTACTAGCCTTGTCTCAAGGCGTCTGTGCAGAATTCTCCATGTCGCAATAAGCACATGTGTGAGTATGAACTTGTTTGTGCCTTGATTTCAATGCTAGAACGGTGCACGTGTGAATGGCCAATGTGTGTACCATACCGCGCTGCTGCACTCTGCCGGCCGCCCCTACATGCTTGAGGCTCCCGGATGCCACAGCGCTTGCAAGTATCGGTATCGGCGTGGACGACCCAATCATGTGGTAGAGTGGTGCAATTTAGCATGTTTCCAGCGTAATTTCTTCATTAAAAGCAAGCATTTTAAAAGAGTTTGGTAGGCATTTGTTTATGGTTCTTTGCGGAAAATTTTCTTTACTTTTGAAGCCATTCTTAGTAGGAAATTTTGTAAGTTCCATTTTCAAGCATTGATTTCCATTTCAAAGTATTGATTCCGCCAATCCC